AAACATAACCTACTTCTATTGTAAATTTCCACTGAAAAGCTGGTTGCCCCCTCCCTTTGTTGTAGGATAGTTTAAATCAAAGTAATTTGGTATTATAATGTGTTTCGAAAATACTTGTTTTGTTTTTTCAGGTAGGTTGTCAAAAAAAAAAAAAAAAATCTGACTCCCCCCCCCCCCTCCCTCGCTTTCAAAAACGATACTACTTGCCTATATTTTATAATTTTAAATTTTCTTAACACCTTTATATGCATTTTAACTATTCAAAATAGACTACCGCCGATACATCAAAAACAACATAAATTAAACTTTAATTTACATAAGTAAAACGACTGTATATTTTTTCTACATTTTCTTGGAGTTTTTATGAAATCACCACACGCTGCACAAAAGTTAAGACTACATGTACTACATGTACTTTGTTACATACATATACCAAAAAGTGAGATATGCGTTTCAATATTAAAATTTAAGTTGCACAATTAATATTTGCTCGATTTTCTTTACTGTTGACTTCCAAAGAGTTTTCGGTCAAATTCCACAACCCAGATGATCGCAACATTGCTTAAAAAAAAAATGAATTGCTAGTAATATAATCTTTAATCAAAAGGTATTATTGGTGTGTCAAATAGCTATAAATCGATTAGCGTACATGTACATGTGTCTTTCGATCCAGAACCAGCAGGGAAGGATCTCTGTATGAAAAAGTCACGCATGCACATCCTTGATTATTACCAAAAGTACACACAGTAGGTGGTAAAGGAGAAGAGTTTGATTTGTTGTTAACTCTGCTGTATTATATCACATGTTTTTATTTATTTTTATTTAGGCCTTTATGTCATTGTTTTAAACTTTCAAAAGAAATTGCTATATAGAGGAATGACATACTTTTAAAAATCCAACAATTAAACACACAACTGGTAATATGCATCCCCCTTTTTTACGTTATCTATACAAGTATTCTGTGAAGAATGTTTTTTTATTCGAGGTTGTTCATATACTACAAGTTTAAGATTGTGTGCCTGTCAATTTATCTACATGTATAATATACGTTGTACATATATTCTTGGGAGTCTAGCGGAATTTTAAAAGAATCTTTTTTAAAAAGATTACCAACACGTTAATTACTCCTCCTTTTGTAAAAATTTTATAGTATGTTTCAAGCATCCAAACCACATTGAACTGTTCTCTAATGAATATTAATGAAATGTGCGCAATGAGGATGCGTAGCATATTATGTTGATGTTGTATTCTCACTCGTGCAGTTTTCGTTTTTACGTTTGTGTAATTTCCTCACTTTATCGTGTAAATATTTTGTTGATTGTGCAGTTTTTCTATAGTTTGTGTAAATTTCAATAGCTTCGTGTATATTTTCCTCACTTTGTGTAAGTTTTTACTTACTCGTGTAATTTTTGTTTTAGGTCGTGCAGAAAATAATTTTGAAGCAATCGGCGTGCCATAATATTGCGTGTTTTGTTATCATACGCATGCTTGAATAAACCCCCCTATATTACAATAATTACAAAAATTTTTAAACGGTGAAGGCGAGGAGGGAATAAATAGGAGGAAAGAGTATTCGCCCTTAATTAAATTAAAAAAAACATATTGATTCCCACATTTCCTTGCAGGCAATTAATTCAATAGCTTTTTTTACGAGGGAGAGATTAAAGGTTTATATACCGCCAGAAAACTTGGGGGGGGGGGTGAAGGGTGGAGGACAAACTTTTAGTAGGATCTTGGGAAACTTTTGAAATTGGTAATAAAATGACTATTTTCCTTTCATTCATTCATTCATTCATGCTTTATTTCCCTCATTAGAGGATTATGTGAAGACAAATAGTTACATATATACAATCAAGAATAAACACATAGTAAATGTAGATGCAAACAACAAAATAACATGCAATAAACGGCTAAACGAGCAAGTTGAGAAAGAAATAAGAAAATAAATAAATTAGTCAAATAATAAATAAATAGTATTGATTTACTCACAAAATTGTAAATTAAAGGTCACTGCAGATTGTGAGTGTAAGTCAGTTGACACATTTGTTACTGGGATTGGAGGGGTCACATTATGCTGTCGAAGATCTTTTCCAGAAAGTAAATGAACAGAATTACGTCCAAGAAAAAAAAAAGAAATATTTCGTCATCTGTCATTGCACAAATTTCTGCAGAGAGGTGGACATCAAAATTATTGGAAATGTCATCCCACCAGCAATGACGTAAATCCGATGCTAGCGAGCAAGAACAGGTGATGTGCATAAATATCTAGAAAGATTTTGCCACAGAATCTGCAGATATCTGGAATCTGTTCAAGAGGACTTGCTATGAGTTTACAAATAAATTTACATAACAGGATTTCATACGTGTTCGAAGGAACTGACCATACGAAACAGGGGTTCTGATTTTGGGTTATAGACAGGAAACGGTGAAAATCACTGTCGTTTAACATTCTATTGTTTCGCTGTGTTTTATGTTGCTTAGACACTGAAGACCTCACAATCTTTTTCCAGAACTGTTTTGTTGGAAATAACCCATTTATAAGCCACTTTTGCAGGTATTCATAAAGATTATAAGTAGATAAAATTTTGATAGCATCAGGTATGAATCCATGTTGTTTATTGGAAATGTCCTCCAAGAATGCATATAAACGTGTCAGGAAGATCTTTGGGAGAGAGCGATGATCCATGCGACAAAGTCGCCCGAGAAAATGCAGTTTACGGACGTCTATTTCCGATTTAATAGGTAGAACATTGAAAAGACTTTCACAGATATCGGATCTTGTCTTTGTAGGAAGGTTCTGAGCATTTTTACAAATAAAATGTTGAAAAACATTCAGGCGTTGGTAATCAGTTGTAGAAAGGTTATTCCATAGTTCACAACCGTAGAGGACTGTGGGCAGTACAACTGACTTATAAAGATGTGATAAGGTGAGCGGATTAAGGTAGATCGATCCAATATTGTTAAGTGCATATGATTTTTGCCCTCTGCGACATGCTGACAGAATTCTATCCGAAAGGTTGAGTTTGTTGCTGATAATTATCCCTAGGTGATTATAAGATTTTTACCAAGGGATTATGGTGTCACCTAGTTTCCAAACGCAATCAAAGTCTATTTTGGAACCTTTGATACGGATTAATAGTATAGACGATTTTTGAGCATGGAAGGAAAAGCGCCATTTTTCTAGAATATTCTTATGAAATATTAAGCATATTTTGTAGGGCAGCTGGGGTTATCCCAGTACATGCAATATCATCTGCTAGTGTGGGACAATTACTAGTTGTGCCAAATATCCCGATATTTATGGTAGATTTTTCGAGATTGACAACAAGTTCTTTAATGTACACAAGATATAAGAAGGATGACAAAACTCCACTTTGTCGTATTCCTTGTAGAACTGGAAACCAATTAGATTGTTTTTGATTAACAACGATTGCACTAGATGTGTCTGTATGACAATCATTCATAATTGACCAAAGTTTACCAAAAATACCTAATTCATACAATTTAACAAGGAGACCATGTCTCCATACCGTGTCGAAAGCTTTCGAACTGTCCAAAAAGCTAATGTAGACATTGCTGCCTTGTTCAATGTTATGAAAAATGGTCTCATGTGTGTTGAACGAAGGGGATAAACAACCCAGTTGTTTTTGTATCCTTGTTTCCAGAATTCCGGTATTTTTCCAAGGTGTATAATAGAGTTTAAGAGTTTAAACGATACATAAAATGACGTATTCGCCTCCGAAAATTAGATATTCGTAGGTAATAAGATCTGGTCCGGGAGCTTTACGACGTTTAAGATTGTTTAAGACTACTATGTCAGCTGTAGAAATTGGGCCACCCGGAAGGTCATCGCGTGATTGGAGACACTGTTTTTTTGATGTTGGGGTATCTTGATTCCATATGAGAGTAAAAGCTGTCATCAGATGACGAGTCTTTGGATGGAGTATATATGTTTTCAAAGTAAGTGGCAAATGCATGTACGACACCTGATGGATCTCGATAAGACACTCCGTTTAAATTAATTTCTGTCTTTTAACTAGCTTCCAAAACAAGCGTATATCGCATTCTGCCGCTTCATTTAGATCTTGATAGACATAATATGGCAATAAAATGACTATTTTCCTGTGTTTAGTCGGTAAACATACCCCCCCCCTCCCCCAGGTGAAACAACAAAACCTTTCTGTATGAATTTGTGAAATAACAATTTATAATACCTGTAAAGAGGAATTGTTGTTTCACGGAGGGGGGGGGGGTGAAAATAAATTTCCGTTTTCCGTTGTTTTCTATAGTGAAAGCAGTGAGCATTAGGCAGTAAGCAGTTGGCTGTCGTATGTAGAATTCCATACTTTTCCTTTTATGTATCATGTCTTTTTTATATAATTTATAGAATTTAAAAGAAAACGGGGGGGGGGGGGGAATTGTTCAAGTTCAGCTGAATGGCTTGGTCGATTCCATATGTTTCTTTCTTTTAACAGTTGTTTAAGTTTAACTTGTTACATCATTTAATTATTGGCGTATAACAAAAATCATTATCAACAACAAAATGTATTTAATATAGTGTAATACTGGTGTAATATAATAATTAATCTGCACAAATATCCAAGATAAGCGCAATTTAGGATATTGGTGAAATGAAAAACTTGAATGGAACAGAAAGCGGAGCAAGCCTCACCTTCTATCACGTTTTCTTTCCCTCGCCCAAATATCGCTTTTCTTATCATGATCATATATTTTACAAATCGGACAGAAACCAGTGCCCCATATCGAATATATAATTCAGTCAAATCTAATTAAAAATTATCAAAAAATTAAAGAAACACTCTGAAAAAGAATACTGTAAAATGTTTGAAATAATACCGCCGAGATATATTGCATTTTATTTATTTAACCTACTCTTAAATTGCATCGGGTTCAAGATTTTGCAAAAATATTTTGCAGGGTCATTGGGTCGATTTCCTGATATTAATACACAGGGAGTTGTATACGTTACTGTTTATTTACATTTTTTTATGTTCTGTCGATATGTTTTCTTAGTCAAGGATAAACTAAAAAATGTCCACAAGACAACATCTTCCCAGAGGTATTGGGAACCGTAGTAAAGCTGCAACCGATGTTGAAAGAGAAAATTTTGAGAAAAGTCAGGTAACGTTACATGACTTACATCTACACGGTCACTGATCAATAAACAAAGTTTGGAAACGTAAAATGCGTTATAGTTAGAAGACTTTTTGACATTTTTTGCTCATTTAATTGTGATGTCATAAACTTGATAGTTAAACAAGCAAAATTTTTCATTGCATGACATTTTTACGGTATACATACATCACTATAAAACTACTACCCTGTTTATCTACTGTGTTCGCTAAGGTAAATGTAAGTTTTAAGTAGTGTTTATAACCAATAATGATAAAAATTGTACATTTATGAAAGTATTTTCTATACCATACTTAATCAGGTGTCGGGTCATTTCTCTGTATATAACCATTTCGAAGTACTTCACTAAATAAGCAACTTTTATTTAGAGTCATAGGGTTGTCCCTAAGACGCAAGGGCCGAGGAATTTCTACACCCAAAATGGCATAATCCCCCGGTTACTCTCTAATCCTGTCTTGTTAGGAGAGGAACCCCAAACCCCCTTCCATTATTTTTAATGTCCCCTGCTATTTCAATTCTTAGGGACAACCCTGGAGTCTGACAGCAATGCATTTACATAATACAACAAATGACATAACTTCTGTAAAACTAACTAGCACAGAAATGAGAAAAAGATATCAATAAGAAGTACAGATAAACTTTGGTATCTTGAAAACATTTTAAATACCCAGGATATATTAAAGTCCTCCATGACAGTCATACTTCAAATTTAAATGAATATTTACATTTGAAAATGTTTGTATAACACTCTTTGAGCGTATTTATTACAGTGGTTCCCGTTTTATCGAATAGTCAAGTTGTCAGCCTAGTTTTATCCGAATAGCCGAAAATTAGAATAGCCGATTGCTCCATACCGAGTCCAAAGATAGATGTATAGAGCTACATGTATTGATAATACATCGTAGCAAATTTCAAACTTGCACTTTCGTTTTCTTTTGACATGTTTACTTAATGACTTTACTAAAAATAATTTATTTCACTTACTTATGAATTTAATATGAAATTCTTTTTCAAATAAATTGACGTATAGAATATATTCTTTGATAGTTATTGCCATCTTTCTTCAGCACATGTTTACATTCCTTCTTCGATGGTCGCCATTTTGGAAACGGAAGTAGACTAAATGCTTGACTAATAACCGTAAACTATTTTTCCCTGGATAGATTGTAAATTAAAAATAAACAAAAATATTAAATATATGTAATTGTTTCGTTTTTATTTGTTTCTTTAATACGGTTACGTATTTTATACTGTGTGTGAGTTTACCAGTCTCGTTCTTGTCTGCTGAAGAGAGATTTTGAGAGCCATGTGGAGAAAGATGGTATGAATTTTGAGACGTATTTTTATAGAACGGGCCATTTGTGATTTTTACCATAAATTTTGCACTGAAAAGTGAATAAATATTAAGCCAATTGACCAAGTTAAACGATTGAATTGGTTTATTTCATTATCCAAGCAAATTGTCATATACAAGCTAATCAGTTCAATAATTAAAATTTCACGCCGAAAAAATTGCAAATAATTGTCATAATTAACAAGTGCATCATTGAACCCAAGCTGATCACCACAACTGTAATCAAAACATATCTATTTACTATGCCCACTATTGACACAGGTAAGGTGCCTGTGTGCGTCCAGGCGTAACTAATCCCCTCATTGTCGTACTCAAGCCAGTCAAGGTAATTGGTGTCAAACTGTGTAAACAAAGGCTTCACATACGAAGTTGGAGGTGTGAACAAGGTGCTGATTATCAAAAAAACACTACGATAGTCCAAATTTTTGTATCGGATAAAACGAAATTCCAATAGTTTCTCATCAGAATATCAGGTGAAATTATTAATAAATATATAAGAAATGGTTTTGTGCTCTGATATTATATTGAAATAGCCGAAATATTCGTTAAACCGCTATCCGATAAAATGGAAGCCACTGTACTGTATAGATAGTAGAAATAAAATACATAGTTACCTGTCTTGAAATATAAGCCATATTTGGGCGAGGGTAAAAAAAAAAAACGTGATAGAGGTTGAGGCTTGCAACAATTACATTTGACATCCAAAACGAGCTATTTTCAACAGATTTACATATGTAGGCACATCTCTGCAGTTGAAACTAGGACGCCATTATTTAAACATTACATTATATAATATATGATGTACTCACAAAGCTTTTAAGACATCGGAATGCATGCACAAGGCTTTATTAGGGCATTGACCAAATATACTTTTATTCAGTCAATGCAAGGGGTAGGATAAAGGTTCATCAGCTAGATGATGACAAATTCATTAAGTCATATATGGTTGATGTAATTCACAGTGATGGCATAAGTGATCAGTGTTTTAGTGGATTCAATATATAGTTTTTAGGTTTGAAAAAACAAACCATTTCTTTGATGTTAAATTATAATCCATTCACAATTATAAATACGTGTATCAGTAACAAGATAATTTTTTTTTATGTTGGGATGTAAATATAGGTTGGTGATCAGTGACATGCAAATAGGCATGATAAAGTCCATCAGGCATTATCATTATGGGAATCTGGATTTATCAATTGACAAACACATATTTATATATATATTGTTTAAAAACAATGCCCATACTTTATTTTTTTCTTAAAAAAAACCCCTCAGATGTATCAGATATGGAAATCTTGAATTATCCAGTTATTTTGAAGTATATTGCAAGCCCTAAGCACTATTTTTATCTCACTCATGTAAATTCTGCTATGTTAAATACATGTATAACTATTTGCCAGGTGATCAGGTGACAAAAGGGTGCCCCTTTCAAAATTGTGAAATTCATGGCCCCTGGGTCAGGCTTCTGGTTGTAAGAAGGCTAGACTTTATTAATCATTCAGAGAACATTCATAATTATTTTTCCTCTTTTTATCCTTTCAAATGCTTTAGTTTATATAATGTATTTTATAAACACTGTTCATTATCAGTGGTTATAATATAGCTATTTCAAACAAAGAATAAATCATTGAAAACTTTCCAGTATTATTTATCTGTCTTCAAGCTAAGCTCTAAAGAATTTTTGCTGCGTGTATTTTATAAATGTTAAAATGTCTTTTTCTATCTTTTTTTCAGACTGTTGCCATTAACAAGGCCATAAACAATCAAGAATCTCCAGTCAAAGAAAAACATGTGCGCAGTATCCTTAAAATGCATGACACTATTAACATCATACATCATAGTGATAGGATAGAAGTTCTTGATAAGCTTTTTAATTTTTATTTATGTTTCAACAATGTTATTTCTATTTTTGCCTTCAATATTCCCAAAATGTTTCACTTGGGACATCTTTAAATAAAAATGTCTGTTTGCCCTCTCCAGATTGACTTCACTAAAAATGGCCTGACTTTGAACTGGAAATGAGCCAAACACTCAAAGAGCTATGCATGGACATTTGTCCAGTGTGTGGTGTGTGTCACCTTTTTGGAATGTGGGCATATCAAGAACCCCTTGGCAATTTTTTTAATTTGTCAGAGTATCTTTTGCCGAAGGGCTTTCATTAATTCTAAAAATAGGGATGTGACCTTAAGGAAGGTCAGTCAATTAGGGAAAAAACATAAGTAGTAGTGGGTGCTACAAAATCTTAAAAGAGGAATTACTAAGCAGATTATCATTTAAGTTACACATAAAGGTGATGATGTTATGTAGACTAAAATTAAAATTAAGGCATCGATCACCCTGGGGCAAAGGGTAATATATCAAGGTTATTTCAGTTATCCTAAAATGATGATATGCATTTTCAAATTGTTTTAGATGCATATTTATGACAGAGTGAAGCTTAGGATTGTCAAATTTTGTCTGATAAATGCTAGCATTTAGTTGTAAAAGAAATAAAAAGCAAATCAACAGTTGTTTAAGTCATTCACATCTTATATCATGCATCTTTTTACACAATTAAACCATGTTAAGATATAGAAAATCATAATGACCTTCAACTTGATTATGTAAAACTTGATTTAATTTTAAAGTACGTTATATCTTTCAATCTGCATGACCTGGATGACGATGTATTTAAGTCTAATAAATATTCAAAAGATAAAAACTATTAAGATCTGATGACTTTATTAGAAATACTTCTCTTCTTTTTTCAATCAGTTGGTCGTTTGCACCTCATCTGTCTGATAAATGTCGAACATTTGCCAATTGAAAAGAATACATGTACGGGTACATTTATTGAAAATAAAATTGCCTAGGTTCTTATTGAATTAATGGACGGATGATTTTAATATTTATCCTCATCCAAATTAAAATAAATTAACACGTAAAATTTTTTTCTCCAGTTTACTTGTCAATTCGACGATTCTTAGAGCAGTTTTTATAATTCTTTATTATTACGATAGTTCATGAAAGTTTGACAGCGTATTCTCTCCAAGATCGATATAAACGGATTCCGAAATTTATTGTAAGTGTTCAGTAAAAAGAATGATTTTCTTTAATTATGTGATTTAAAAACAAATGGTAATTCAATTTAATGACTCGAGTTTTAAGGTTGTCAGCTTATCGCATTTCATTTTGTTATTTTTTCATGCAAATGATACATATTTTTTTTTTTATATTGATATAAAAAGTCTGGAAGATGGGCTAATGCAATTCAAATGGAAACAGTTTGTTGTTATTATTGTTGTTGTATGTCCTCGTTTTTTTATGAGCCAAAGCGTTCAAAATCATGCTTTCTCATCCAGAAATGAAAATTTAGAGAAAATACAAATCAAGAACAGAAAAATTCCCAAAGTTACATTATGCCATAGCGAAAAAAAAAAGTATTTATATTGCGTGAAAAAAAATGTGAATGTATTCTTGTCATGTAAAGACCTTTACAGCTTGTTGTAAGATAATAGATTTTAAACATTAAAACTTACTTAAGTCAGTGTTTTCATAAAACAGCCCTCACCTCATTAAATTTATTGTACTTCATTTATTTTTTTTAATTTGCCTTTTGAGATTTTTTTTTGAGGGGGGGAGGGGTGTCTTAAAAGGTTTCGATTCATTAGAATATTTTAATGAATTTAAAACCGATTTTTCTAATTCATTATCAAATTTGGAATAAATGTACACATTTTATAATTCATATATAAAGACCCTAAGAATAAAAACACTAAGAATACAATAATTCTGCTTATTTCATCAGTTATTTTTTGTGAACAAAATAAATATATAAAACGTTAAAAAATAACTTTCAAACCATTAAGTTTTTTTAAACAACTGTCTGTCAAAACATTGACTTTATAATACCAGGTAAATAAATATTCATTCATTTATATGAAGTCATTAATATGTATGTACATGTATTTTGATATTATGATAATTTCACATTTAATTTTCGTTCTTTCCTTAAATACTTTTTTTTCATTATCAATTTTCATTATTCGTTTTTCTTTTTTCTTAATCTGTAATTTATACACATAGGAATACCTCCATCTTTTTCCTGATAAGGACAGTAAAATTAGATGCCTTCTGAATGCACACAATATATGGAAAACCTGATAAACGCAAAACATGATAAACGCAAAACCTGATGAATGCAACATTTGATACGATAAACGGAAAACCTGATAGGATACATGCACGATAGGATACATGCATGATAGGACACGATAGGAATGTCAACAATAACGATGTGGGTACTGTACCAGGCAGTATTTCAGAGGATTTCTAATTTTTAATTATTATATAATATATTATATCTGAGAATACAAACAAAACTTGTGGTGAAAATTTAGATGTTTTTTTTTTATAATTAAGATAACATTCTAGATGAAAAAAAGGATTTTTGAAGTGGATAACCTTTTTAGCTCACCTGAGCAGAGGGCTCAAGTGAGCTTTTCTGATCAAATTTTGTCCGGCATCCCTCTGTCTGTCTGTCTGTCTATCTATATACTTTTCACATTTTCATCTATCTATAAACTTTTCACATTTTCGACTTCTTCTCAAGAACCACTCAGCCAATTTCAACCAAACTAGCCACAAAGCACTTGGGAGAAGGGTTCACTTTGTTCATAGGAAGTGCCATGCCCTCTCTCAAGGGGAGTTAATCAAGTGTGAAAATTTGGTGGCATCTTTTAAAAATCTTCTTCTCAAGAACCACTTGGGCAGAAAAGATAAAACTTGAATGAATACTTCATTAAATACTGTAGATTCCAATGTTTGATTATGTTTTACATAGGAGTATATAGGAAATGTCTCTAAAAATCATTAGTTACATTGATATGAAAACATACTAAGGTAGTGTAAATTTAAATCCCCCCCTTCCCCATAAATATATCAATATCGATTTCTGCTTTTTTTTCCTAGCCAGTGTTCACAGGTGAGTGATGTGGCACATGGCCGCTTGTTAAATTTTTTTTTGTTTCCTTAAAAACTAAGGGAGATAACTCTTCCAAGACAGTCAAGTTATAAAATCTTTAGATACTGATAATTATTATAAATTGGAGTTGTGTCTAAATATATTGAGTAATAAGCAGTACATATTTGTTATGCACTCAAATTCATCCAGTCTTTGGTTGCTATTATATAGCAATCAACAGAATCTATGGCTATTATATATCCACAGAATACCTTATAAAGGCCTATGCAATCTGACTTTCAAACATATTTTCAATCAGTTTGTACTAAAAATCTCTATTTGAAAGCAGTTTTGCAAATGTATTTTTATGTATTTATTTTAGAACTAAAATGATCAGAGACAAAACAATTCATTTGTTACAGTAATTGATTAATAGATGGGAATGCATTCAATGCATTCAAGAAGAGCAGCAAGTCTGGTAATTTTTTGGTTTAAGTATTAGCAATCTGTTTAAAACTTGTTGTATAAAGTAAAGCATGTTGATAGTCAACAAAAAATGTAGTATATGAGTTATGACCCTGAGTCAAATTTGTGCTAATATTGGATATGAGTCATAAAAGGTTATGTGACAAACATGATAAATGACCAGCAATTTTATGACTAAGTATAATGTTTGTGATCAATTGTCATTTTGTTTTGAAAAGGAAGATATAACCTATTTTTATAATTCGACTGACATAAGATTTAAATTTTGATAAGCAATTTCAAATGATGTTCTGACATATATGCAAGATATATTTAATATGGTTTCATGAATGTTTTGACTTGGAAGGTCAAAACTGAATTAAACTTGCTTGCTACGATTGAGTGACCATTAAGTGACTAAAGTAACAAACAAATCTTAATTGTGATACATCCAAATTTCTCATTTTATTTAAGTACAGGGTGTTTCAGAAAACATGCAACCATTTGCTTTCCTCACTTTATTGATATGCAAACAAATATTTTAAAAGTTTTATTTAAAATTATAGTAAATAGGCTTAAGATTTTATCGATAACAGAAACTTGGGAAATAATTATTATTTGAATTAATTATGCCGTCATATTTTACATCATTGAGAAACATGTCATTTCATTCTGAATATGGAATTTACTAAAGAGCAATCTTCAGAAGTTTTTATCAAAACATGTCGCTAGTTCTTGTGCTTAGGACAATATAGATAGGTATCCAGAATTTAATAAAAAGTTGAAGTTGTACAAATTTGTTAAAAAATTTGGATATAATGGAAGGTAAATGATAAAAGAAGAGGAAATATTGGAAGAACAAAGACAATCAAAACACAGGAAAACTTTGAGAATGTTAGAGACATTGGTTTAGGGACTTGCATGAAATCCATAAAGTAAAATAACTGATCTTGTTAACAAATGCGACTCAAACATTAGAAGTCAAGTGTATATCGGATGCTGAAATATGATTTGATCTTACACATTGGACTGGTTGAAATAAATATTTGGAGGACTATTCTTCTCTTCCAAATCCCAAAAACATTTGACCTCGACATTCACCTGACTTAACCCCCCTTAAGTTTTATCTCTGGGGACGTTTAAAGGTCACAGTTTATAAAACACACACCATCACAACACATGAACTCAAAATTGTGAAAAAAAAAGACTCAAGGTTCATAACAAATAAATTTTGTGCACTAGTTATGGTTATCAGAAATGTCCTGCATCGATTACATTTATTCATTCAGCAAAAATTACACCATTTAGAACATATTTTGCAACTAGGTGAAATTTGAAAGTTTTTTTTTTTATTCTTTTGTAACTCATTATCTATTTGCCTGATTAATTTTATTTTTACAGTTAATAAATCTTGAAATTGTACCTTTTAATTTAACATGTTGGTGGATGGTATTGGATGAAACACGAGTAAATTGTAACCAATCAAAATGGTTGCATATTTTCTGAAACACCCTGTACTTGCATTTGTATCTGATAGGTGCATGAGAAAAGCACTTTAAAGTAATGTCAGAGAGTATTGTATTAATGTAATGATGAACATGCACTAAAAAGAATTTGTGTCAAAGTATGTGTTGCAATGACAGATTTTTTTTCCTGATATAATGATGCTTTAAATAAGGAAGAATTTTTTAACATCAAGCAAATGAACAGTCATGTTAAATATTTTTATTTATAAAAATAGGGACTATTTATGGTATATCAATGGGAGAAATCACTTGTGCACTTTGAAATATGAAAGAAAAAACATCCGAGTAACCGAGTACCAATTTTAGTATTCGATGCTAGACCGTTCAGTCGGGTATCTCGTTGACATCCCTAGTATATTTACATGTATGTACATGTTTAAAATTTGTTGAAATAATGAAATTTAATTTGATGATTACAATAAGTGTTAACATTTACTTGTACGTATTCATTTTTGTCAGAAAAATTTACTTGTACATTTTTTCAGAAAAGAATTATGACTCAGATGAGCATTGTAGTGCTTGGACCTCATGTTCAATATTATTCTGAGTGGTGAATAGAAATGTTTAAAACCCTTGAAGTTCTCTCTTTTTCATTATTCCTTTATTAGCAATTAATATGTTTGAATTCTTAACAATTTATTAGTTGCCATTCTTGGAACATTCACAGAAAATGGAGCCAGTATGTTCTGGCACATTGCAACTAGACTTCCAGTCCAAGGCAATCCCATAGTGTGCTGGAAATTCTGTCATGTGCTTCACAAGCTACTCAGAGAGGGGCACTCTAATGTGAGTTTAAGTGAACAACAAATATTCTCAAAAGAAATAAGTTGGTATTTGTGTGCTCTGGAATATGCAAACTCAATGCAATGATTTTTTCACAGTTATTACATAGACTATCTTGTAAAAGATCACATTTATAAGAGGATTTTTTTTTTTGGAAAAGAGATGTTTTTAGGGGTGAATGTTAGTTTTACTCAGTTTTCAACAAGCGAGCATGCTGCAATCACTAAATTGCAAATTACATTAGTCTAACTGAAAGATGAGATTGTGTATATACAGTCAAACCTCATTATCTCAAACTCGATGTGACCGAGAAAAAACTTCTAGATATCCCAGCGTTCGAGATACTGAGGGTAAAACACAATAAGAAAATGGTGGCTGGGACTTCCAAATCACTTCGACGTATCAGTGGTTTTCGAGATATCCGTGTTTGAGATACCGAGGTTCAGCTGTACAAACATTTCCACAAATCCATTTTCAAGCTTTTTCATGTTTAATGATTTCACAGTTTATATTTAGCATTACATATGCTTAACTGTAATTTTTATGCCCTGAGATCAAACAATGGGAGGCATATTGGTTCTTATCTTGTTTGACCATCTGTCATTCTGTTTTTCTGTCATTATAAACCTTAATATCCTATCTTTTTGAATTTTTTCAACCACATGCACAGAAGTAAGAAATCTTATATTTGATAGAGTTTTAGTAATATAAATATATTTAAATTTTTTATTATTATTATTTTTTTAATAGTTTTTAGCTCACCTGAGACGAAGGCTCAAGTGAGCTTTTCTGATCACATTTTGTCCGTCGTCCGTCCATCTGTCTGTCTGTCTGTCTGTCCGTCTGTCTGTCCGTCTGTCTGTCTGTCCGTCCGTCTGTAAACTTTTCACATTTTTGACTTCTTCTCAAGAACCACTAGGCCAATTTTGACCAAACTTGGTACAAAGCATCCTTGGGTGAAGGGAAATTTAAATTGTTAAAATGAAGGGCCAAGTCCCCTCACAAGGGGAGATAATCAAGAGAAGACAAAAATAGGGTGGGGTCATTAAAAAATCTTCTTCTCAAGAACCACAGGGCCAGTAAAGCTGAAACTTATATGGAAGCATCCTGGGGTAGTGTAGATTCTAAATTGTTCAAATCATGACCCCCGGGGGTAGGGCGGGGCCACAATGTGGAATCAATGTTTTACATAGAAATATATAGGAAAAATCTTTAAAAATCTTCTTCTCAAGAACCACTGGGCCAGAAAAGCTGAAACTTATGTGGAAGCATCCTGCGGTAGTGTAGATTTTAAATTGTTCAAATCATGACCCCCGGGGGTAGGGCGGGGCCACAAGAGGGAGTCCAAGTTGTACATTGAAATTAATAAGAAAAATCTTTTAAAATTCTTCTTCTCAAGAACCACTGGGCCAGAAAAGCTGAAACTTATATGGAAGCATCCTGGGGTAGTGTAGATTCTAAATAGTTCAAATCATGACCCCCGGGGGTAGGGCGGGGCCATAATAGGGAATCCAAGTTTTACATTGAAATATATAAGAAAAATCTTAAAAAATCTTCTTCTCAAGAACCACTGGGCCAGAAAAGCTGAAACTTACATGGAAGCATCCTGGGGTAGTGTAGATTCTAAATTGTTCAAATCATGACCCCTGGGGGTAGGGCGGGGCCACAATAGGGAATCCAAGTTTTACATTGAAATATATAAGAAAAATCTTAAAAAATCTTCTTCTCAAGAACCACTGGGCCAGAAAAGCTGAAACTTATATATGGAAGCATCCTGGGGTAGTGTAGAATCTAAATTGTTCAAATCATGACCCCCGGGGGTAGGGTGGGGCCACAATAGGTATATTAAAAGGGGGAAATCTGGTAAAGAACAGCATGGCCAAAGTTACTCAGGTGAGCGATGTGGCCCATGGGCCTCTTGTTTTACTGTGTAACAGTAGTTGTACAGGAAATGACCTAGCAGGACGATAAACTCAAACTTAGAGAGATTGGCAAAATATTGATATGTATGCTAATAAAGTACAACCTGCAAATTATTATAAATTATTATGATACCAAAAAAAAACAAATAGGGTTTTCCAAAACAAATGTTTGCACAATCATTTTTCATTAGGATCAAAACATGAAATTAAAAACTCATCTAAAACATCAATAATCAACTGTTTAGAAATCCTAAAGTAGTTGCTTTTAAGCCTTAGTATGGTTGTGAATGCTTGATCGCCAAATTTTTTCATTCATCTATCAAAAATGTTTTCCAGCACCTGCTTTGTTGAAAAGATGTCTAGTGTACACATTGATTTTCTATGATATTATATTATTAAACACAAAACTGACAAAAAGTGGAACAAAATTTTTACGAAAAAAATGATCCTTTACTTAAGGGTCACCTTACCATTGTGGTAACTTTTAACATTTGCTGCAGCTGAGTGTTCAATAGATGTTTGAATATATCTAAGTTAAATAAGTCATCATCACCACCATCCACACTAATAATTCACATCCACAACCCTTCAACTAGTACTTTATACCCTTCCCCAATGATATACACTTTTCAGTATGTTATGTCATTCCATTTAGCAGTAGCTGAGTAAAGCATTGCAGCTCATTGTTCTTTAAAATTTTGAAGACATTTTATAATAATGGACTCTTGGTGGTGAATATGGTTTGATATTCACCAGAAAAATATCAATATTGACCGATGCTTTGCCTTGGTAAATATTGATATTGACTGATGCTTAGCCTTGGTCGATATTGATATTATCTGGTGAATATCAAACAATATGTACCACCAAAAGAGTCTATAAGTGTTTTATTGTTTAGTCTGTATTCCAATAAGTAAGACATGATGACAACATTTTCATTAACAAACTTTTGTAGTCATAAACCATTTCTTTTGTATAGATTATATAGGGACTATATAAAGACTACATAATAATATACAAATATACCCCTTTTATGAGGTCGATCCATAGATATATTGACTTCACAGAAAAGCATATTGACTGAGCATGAAGTGCCAAGTTGATATGCTTTTTGTGAAGTCGATATACCTATGGTTTGACCGAATCAAAGGGCTACATTTGTTATATTATTTTCTTTGGAAAAGAAAGAGAAAAACAAATCATTATATAGGAATTTATAAGTTTTAAAGACTTTTCACCATTATAAACACATCATTGGTTTTTCCCTAAGTTATTTTTGGTAACGAGTCAATATCGTAAAATATAATTTTGCATGTGATAGCAAGCAAACCAATCAGATTTATTGAATTACACAGTAAACATAATATCAATAATTATACATTATTGTATTAACATATTCATGTTGAAAGAGATGGAACTCCAGGGACAGACAAATCCCATTGCCCGACGCACAAGACTAGTGAATTTTGGGGATGGGCAAGTGAATTTTTTTTAACCACTTGCCCGAGGCCAATTGACTTTTTCAAGACAAAAAAGTTTTAAGTGGAAATTGACACTTGTAATAATCTTTTTTCTGTTGTCTTTTTACTTTTCATAGTTTATGGTGGGGCAAGTAAAATTTCAGGTATTTCAGAATTTTGACCATGTACTCGCCCATGGGCAAGTACTTGAAAATCTATTTGTCAACCCCTGAACTCTCTAAGTACAGTAGAACATGCTTATAGTGAACTTGCTTATAATGAATCCACACTTATGGGGAAGTTATTTTAATTCCATGTGGGCTTAGATCAATTTGTAAACTTATGGAATATAACAAATATTGTTTTTAATGAAGCAAATCAGATCTCTTCCATGGCACTTTTCTATAGGCCGTTTTACTGTATTCAGTGATTTTATTTTTCCAGGTCGTAGTGGATTCATTTAAATACTGCAGTCATCTCGGTGACTTGGGAAAACTCTGGGTAATTATACAATTTACTGCATTCTATTAAAAAAAGGGATTTTAAACATTTTTTTTTTCAAATTAATTAAGGTGTATTTTATATGATAGCATATTTAGTACAGTAGGTAAAGTTTTTTATATTATGTAAATTAAAGCCTTATGTATTGAAATTTTAATTAGGTATATTGCATGTTGACATCCCTGTTTTGTATTTAAGAGAAAAAGAAATTAAAGCATTTTAAATTTATTTAAGAATGATTATGTATTGACAGTTTATGTATATAAAATAATGTAAATTTTAATTTTTAGGGTCATTTAAGGGAGGGATATGGCAAATCAATAGAAAATTACTGTCGCCTGTTGATCCAGAAGCTGCAATTTCACAAAAAAGTAAGAGAAACTAAGAAATAGATACTGTAAACCAACTCTTGTTCGCAACAACCTTTATTCATGATTTGCCAGTGTAAAATTCTGCCAAATTACTTTTTTATGCCCCACCATGAATATGGCTGGGGCATATGTGGTTCCATCATCTGTCCATCTTCCATCCTTCTGTTTTTCCATCCTTCTGTCCAGTTGTCCTTCCATCTTTCCATCCCTCTGTTTTTTCATCTGTCCTTCCATCACACTTTGTGTTAAACTCAGTTTCAAAGAAACTATTCAAGATATTTTTTTTATCAAACTTCAAATGCAGATACATATTAATGAAAGCTCTTCAAATGCATCAACATTTTTTTACCTTGACCTTTCCTTTGACAATGTGCTTGATTATGGTAAGCAAGGGTGCCTCTTCCAAATTCACTGCCCCTGGGTCAGGGGTTCTGAGTTAGGACAAAGCCCTGTTGATCTTGCAGTAAAATGCATAAATTCTTTAAAAAAATTCTTCTCTGCCCCTGAGTGTATAGCAAACATACTAAAAACATGATTATGATGAGCAAGATTGTGAAATTCATGACCATGTATAGAGTCAGGGGTTCTTGTGTAAGGGTGGGTTTCTATTGATAAAATAGTGATAATACATATTTTCTTTAAAGAATGATTTTCTTTTCTTAGGTTTTAGCAGATAAACTTAATGCATAGTTAAATAAGCCAGAGTCCTTCCAAAATTGAAATTCATGGCCCCTGGATCAGGGATTCTTGTGTTTGGTTGGGGCTCTTTTGATTATGTAGTGAAAATTCATACTAATATATTCTTCAAAAATCTTCTTCTTTGTTCTTAGATATTAGCAAACAAACTAAGTGGATGATGAACAAGAGTGCTTCTTTTAAAGTTATAAAATTCATTTCCTCAGAGTTAAGGGTTATGGTGTTAGTCTGTGGCTCTTTTCAATGTTTAGTGAAAATGCATGAATAATTTAAAAATCTTCTATGTTCCTGGGTGTTTAGCAAGCATGTAAATACATAGTTATGATAAGCAAGGATGCTTCTTCTGACATTGTAAAATTCATGGCCCCAGAGTTTCTAGTGTAAGGGTGGGGCTCTATTAATAAAATAGTGAAAATGCATATTTTCTTTTTTTTCCTGGGTATTTAGTAGAAAAACTAAGTACATAGTTATATGACAAGCCAGAGTGCCTCCACCAAAATTTGAAATTCATGACCCCTGGGTCAGTGGTTCTGGTGCTAGGATGGGGCTCTGTTGATTGCCTAGTAAAAATTTATATATTTAAAAAAAAAATCTTCTCTGTCCCTGGTAAAGCAAACATGGCCTTTGGGGCAACATATCATCATCTCTCAGTTTATTTGTTTTATTTCATTCTTCAGTGGATTCTTTAAAGTGTTGTATTTTACACTTGTGATAGGTAAGGCCCTTGGGCTTCTTGTTTTATCTTAAGCAGACATGGGCAGATTACTTAAAAATGTAATCGATTACTTAAATGAATTTTGTGTAATCGATTATTAATTGATTACAATCATTTCTGTCCTGTAATCAATTGTAATTGATTACTTTAGAAGATGTAATCAATTACTAATCGATCTTCGCCTCAAATATCAAAACAGAAAAATACTGTAAAATCCCTGTTAAACGGCCCTGCCCCTATAAGCGCCTCCCTAGGCCTTTTTCAATTGTCGGGAAATAAGGGCCCCCCCTGAACTGTGATTAAAAATATCTAGAATCATATTGAAAGTCCGCCATAATTTGAAGAAAGTGAAAATGAAACTTGGTCATTGGATAACTCGTATGTAAAGAATTCCTGAGAGTGAAAGATTAATTCTTAGAAAGTGAAAGTTACCTACAAAATTTGTGCTCCTTGTGTATTCTCTAATTTTTTTCGGTGGAAAAATAAATCATTAAGCATAATTTGGATGGGTTATCTTATGGTGAAGAAAAGTAAGAGAAATATTTAGTGCTTCTCTGAATTTATTTTTTTTTTCGAAAGATTTCTTGAAGTTAAAATATGACATTAAATGTTATAACGAGAATACCAAAATAACCGCCCCCTTTTCGCAATTTTCTAAGCACCCGGGGTGGCTAATAGGGATTTTACAGTATTTTAAATATTATTTGGTAATGTTGATGATATCCACCATATTTCCACTGAAGTTTGAATGTGTTTATTTTGTTCAGTTTCTGTGCAGATTCTATTAAGGTTTTTTTTCTGGTTTAATTTCATACTTTAGACCTAACATACTCAGTAAATGTTTAAATGAGGGATTTCTCTACCAAGAAGGTGGAGACATGGTTTCCACAATGAAATGCTTTAAGGAATTATTTCTTTTGACTTTGGATCTGAACTTTCATATTCATTGACTTTTATGGCAGAAATTATTAGATATTTTGTTATAATTTAGAAGTACATGTATTTGAACTGCCCACACAATGGCAGTACACATTTAGATATTCCTGTTTTCTTTCAAAAATTAATTAAATTAGAACTCTTAGTAATAAACAGGTAATTGTGCCTTTATGGAAAATAGCAGCAATTACATTCTTTGTAGGAATAAATGTTTTTCTTTCAAAAAGAAATTTTTTGCACTTTTATTGACTTTAAACAGGCATTCGATATGGTGTGGAGAAATGGGCTTTGGTACAAATTGTTGAAAAATGACTAAAGTGGTAAATGTTTTACATTTATAAAAAATATGTATAATGGAGTTAAGTCCCTAGTGACTATGAATGGTCTTATATCTGAATTTTACAACTGTAATATTGGTGTACGCTAAGGAGAAAATTTATCACCTCTCCTGTTTTCTATGTATATTAATGATATAGAAGAATTTCTCACCAACAAAACTGTGCATGGACTTTCATCTAATCTAAGCATTTCAAGTACTGTAGAAAATCAATTCTTACTTTATTTGAAACTATTTATTTTGTTCTATGCTGACGATACAGTTATTATGTCTGAGTCTGCAGAGGGTTTTCAACATGCTTTTAATGAGTTTCATTTATACTGTATACAATAGAAATTGAATGTCAGTGTGGATAAAACTAAAATTCTGATTTGTTCAAAAGGTCTATCTATTAAAAATTTATTTTCCCGGTCAGGATCTTTTTCAAGACAAAAAAAAAACATTAAAGTGAGCAAGCCTACCAGTAGATTGTCAGCTTGATTTGTTTGATAATAATGTTACACCAGTACTTTTGTATGGATGTGAGATATGGGGTTTTATGAAATTGAACATGTTTATGTAAAAATTTTTAAATATATATATTTAATCTGAAAAGTAGTACCCCAAGCTATATGGTTTATGGAGAAACAGGTCATTTTGTATAATATTAACAGTATATTTAAGAATGATAGCCCATGAAGCAAAATTACTGATAAGTCCTGAAAATAAGATTGTATGTGTTATATATAAATGACTGCCGTCATGAGAAAAGGGCCCTTAAGGTCAAAATTTCACAAATTGACTTTTTGGTAAATTTTGATAGCCTGACTCGTTCTGAATACAAATATACGTAACTTTTGAAAATATCTCATTTTTTCAATATTCTATGAGCATTTTAGTAAGGCGCTTCAAAAATAACGTTGACGTTACTCACTGAAAACGTGATAACGTCGCATGCGTCAAACTGAGTTTCCAAACATTCTTAAAGTTAGTTAAAATAAATAACCTTAATTGTTTGGACACATAAAAACTTGAGAATTATTTGATTTAATTCTTCTTCCAATCTATTAGTATACAATCATTCCTAGGGAAAGTCACCTTAGTTCATACTGTTTTAGCGGCAGATCCAGTAATTTAGTAAAAGGAGGGGGAGGGGTGTCTAAACAGGATCTAGGAACTGTTTATTTTCAGTCGAAAAAATAATACCTGTACAATTCCTCGCATGTTATTCTTTTTACATTGAATGCTCTAGCTCAATTTATAAAATATAAAGCACTTGTAACATTAAAACATTAAAAAAATACACATATGTCCCATAGATAAAGGAGAGATCCAATCAAAACAAAGGCACCGCACAGAAAGCGGGACACCCTCGCTAAAGTTCACATCGATCCTGATATAAAAAATATAACTTTTAGCTATAAACACGCATTAACTCTACCCTCCCCCAACACACACACACACGCGCGCGTGTGTGTGTGTGTGCATTACTATTTCCATTTTTATGATCGAGGGGATATCACCCCAAATATTTTTTTTTGTATCACCGATGAATGCTAATGGGAAATAAATTCAGAAATGCCATGATATGTGTAAACTTGTTTTTGATAAAAAAAAAAAAATATTCCGTTCATAAAGATCTTAAACAAAGGAAAAAAACAAATCTGTTTTCTACTTCCAACATAATTTTATTAGTCCCCAACCGGTGAAACCGGAGGGGACTATAGGTTTCCTCTGAGTCTGTCCGTCCGTCTGTCTGTCTGTCCCTCTGTCTGTCTGTCAGTCTGTCCCACTTGGTTTTCCGCAGTTTTTTCCTAAACGCTTGCAGATATTGAGCTGATTTTTGGTATGTGAGTGTATCTTGATGTTTGCATTTCGTTCTGCTTCATTGATTTTGGACGGAATTATGGCCTTTTCAATTTTTAAGGGTTTTCCGCAATTTTCTTCTAAATGCTTTCAGATATTGAGCTGATTTTTGGTATGTGACTTTACCTTGATTAGTTATAGATCAAGTTTGCATTTCGCTCCGCTTCATTGATTTTTGACGGAATTATGACATTTTCAATTCTTAACGGGAACCAGATTTCACTTGCCGGTAGGGGACTAGTATTGCTAATGCAATACTCTCAGAATGCTTGTTTTTATTTTTTTTTTTTTTTAAACTTAGCTAAAAAGTTTTGATAAGTTTCAATTGTTCATGCAATTCAATTTCTTTACCTGTCTTAGTTATGGAGTAGAAACATAAAAAAGAGGCACATAATGTTGTCAAAGCTAAAGGACTTGTCTTATGAAATTTTATTTAGTACATGAAGATTGAATCTTTTTGTCAACATCTTA